GCATGTCTCTCAATGAAACAATACGTAAACATCTAAAGAATATGGGAAAACTCCATAAAGAACGTGTTTGGGTGCCTCATGAAATCTCCAATGATCATTGTTTCCAACGTGTGAACGTTGCTTCGTCTCTTCTGGTGCGTAATGCACGGGAACCATCTTTGGACAGTACTGTCACCGGTGACGAAAAATAGGTTCTCTATGCGAATATTAAACGCCAAAAACAATGGCTCAGTCCTAGACAAAACCCACTTCTGAGCCCAAAACCTGGACTCCATCCGCAGAAAGTGATGCTTTGCATTTGGTGGGACATCAAAGGACTAATTAATTTCCAACTCGTTAATACACAGCGAACTACCAATGCATATATCTATAGTCAGAAACTAGAACGTTTAAATCAAGGCTTTCACCAGAAACGCCCTTCACTCGTCAATCGGAAAGGTGTTCTTCTTCTCCACGCCCCCCAGTGGCACAGCGGTATGTCTGCGGACTTACAACGCTAGAAACCGGGTTTCGATACCCGTGGTTGGTAGAGCACAGATAGCCCTTGTGTAGCTTTGTGCATAATTAAAAACAAACAAACAAACATTCTTCTCCACGACAATGCACGTCTACGTGTGGCACGTTTGACGCAACACAAGAGTATGGAGTTGTGTTGGGAAGTTCTCCTCCACCCACCATATTTTCCAGATATGGCACCATCAAATTACTATTTTGTTCGTTCTCTGCAATATCATCTTATTGGGAAAACGTATGCAAATATAGAAGGTGGTAAAGAGGACATCGACATGTTTTTGGCTTCAAAGCCATGTGATTTATTTAATCAGGGCATTAACAATCTGACTGTAAGATGAAAAAGCATCATCGATAAGAATGGAGACTATTTCATTTAATAAATGTTTTGTCTTGATATATAAGTTGTTCGTGTTTTTTCATCTAAAAAAAAGCGACATTAATTTCTTAACGACCTAATATATTGATCAATGCTGCTTGGCGGCGTGGTGTTTACCGATTTATCTCACGTAGAAAGGAATGATGTAAATATTGACTTTATTTTCTGAAACACCTTTGTATATATATATATATATATATATTGTTTTCACTCGTAAGCACTTAGAATTATGCTTATATATAACACAAGACTTGATGAACTATAAAGGTTTTCAGATGTATATATAACCACGTGTGCAAATATATGAGAAAAAGGAGCAAGGTGCTTTATTTCTATTTATCGTAATTTGCGCATTTCACCTTTTTTCTTTGAACAAATGCACCAACGCTTAACATGGGGTGGCTGTCTCAAGGCGGGAATTTAGGTTAATCATCGGTAACAGAAGTTAAATCCCAGGTTAATGTAGTATTGGATTGAAGTATGACTTCAACTATCTCAGAAGAAAATCCTCCTTCGCTCTCCAAAGTAGGTCAGGAGTTATGTCATATGAAATTTTGTATTTTATGTTAGACTGCAACTTAAAGTTAAACCTCTGTGTTGTTGAACTTACCCGAACTAACGTGAAATTGAACTTGCTTTGAATTTGAACTTCTGATGTAAACTTAGACATCGCTATTTTAATGTGAAAAAAATATTTAATCTAGGTCAGTGGTTCTCATTTTTTTCATCCCTGGCCCATCAATTTTTTGTTTGTTTTATCTCAGTGGAACAGACAATAAACAGTATGTCGATGTGATATAGCCACAGCTAGAACCCTGGGTGGTTATTTTGATTTTTCTACTTTTATTATTATTTTTTGAGCGGGAGGAGTGAGAGACAGATATATTTTGAAAGTGGCCAGAACAAGTTAGAGCTGTTTATCACAGTGACTGATTAAAAAAAAAAAAAAAAACTAGCATCAACACTGCGAAGTTCGAGAAAATGCAAGGTACATTGCTCAGGTACCAGCAGCACAATCGATGCTATGAATATTCAGGTGTAATCTTTATTTTACAAATTGCTGTTTTGAGTGCACATGGTTGCAACACACAAAACACTGTACTAAAGAACATTTATATTGTAGATACCCTTTTAAACTCCAAACCTATGTAACAGAGAATTTAGATCTTTTGTACCTAAAGAGATATTCACTTGTGCATCTTCTTCCTACTTGAAGTAAGTACTTCTGTAGCCCAGTTTTTAAAACTTTAGATTTCAGGTTTGCAGTGGGATTTATACAATACGATGCCTTCTATTCCATGATTATGCAACCTTTCCATGGACCACAGATTGGGAACCTAAGCTATATACAATTTATTTTAATGCTTTTGCTTTTACTCTAGCCTAAATATTAATGTAAATGCAAGAAACTTAAAGACACAAGTATGATTTTGACATCACTCTTTCAAAAAACTATTAAAATGATATACTGACAACAAGAGGCCAATTAGTCCTTCAACTTCAGAGCTGTTCTTGCATACCCATCCACTGGGAAAAAAAAATTAAACCCATTTCTTTATTTTTCATGATATTACTGGTTCTCCTCATAAACTCCTGTAAGATGCTGGCTTTCACTACTGCTGGTAGTAACTCATTCCATAAGTTAATTACCATGTTAGAAAATATGTATTAACTAGAGTCCAGCTGTCTTTTCCAAATCTTAAACTTCTCTTGTCCTATTGTCATCACAATTTGGTTTAAAGAAGTTAGAGGCCTTTATTGATCTCAATGGATAATCTTTTAAACTTTGGCAAGATCATAAGATGTCTCATAACTTATTCTCTTAAGATAACCATTTCATCCCCAGAACCATCCTAGCAGTTGTCCTCTGAACACCTAGCAATAAGTCAGTATATATCTTTAGGTAAGGAAACCAAAATTGCAAACAATATTCCAAATAAATCTAATTAGTGATTTGTATAATGAGATAATTTCCTCATTTGACTTGTGTTCAGTCTTAGGCTCCTTACCTTAAGAAAGACATTGAATTGTTGGAAAGAGCTCACAGGAGGGCTACTAGTATGATACCTGGGATGGAAGAGCTTGTCTTTTAAGGACAGGTAAAGATATCTGAAATTGTTTTCTCTAGGAAAAAAATAAGAGTTAGAGTGGATCTGATTGAGGCATTTAAGATTCTTTAGAGAATTGATAGTGTTGATGCATCATCTTTTTATCTACTTAATAGTTGGAATGGTATGACTAGAACACAAATATAAATTTTGGCAGGTTAGGAGTCATATTCAGCTTTTTTTTCTAACAGGGTAGTTGGCCTTTGGAATGTAGTGCCTTCAGATGTGGTGGAGGCAGTAAATTTAATTGAGTCTAAAGGAAGTCTTGTTAAATATTTGAATGATAAGGGCTGGATTTTAGGCTTTATTCTAATAGCTTAGTTTAGTGGATAGGACAGCCAAGATATACAAACAGGTCTCTTGCTGCCTTTAAGTGTTATGTTGTTACACTATTTTGATATTGTTATTGTCTGTGTGGAAGTTACTTTATTCATAAAATGGTTTTGATATTAAAAACAAAGCAACCATCTGTCTTATTCAGTTATTGGGGTGTTGCTTATTATACATTTCCTTAAGTATATTTGTTTTGTTTTTCCCATGTTTAATAATAAGTTAACATTACAACATTAAAACTTTGTATAAAATGATAAAAACTATTTGTTTAAATTAAGATATTTTAAAGAAAGTCCTGATTGTGACACAAATAACTTAATCACTGATAAGTATCATTTTAGTAATATAACAGTGTGTTAGCATATAGCATTAATTCTGTAATATGTTTTTGTGTCGTTACCTATAGGGCTGTTTTGTTCATCGAAAAAAGCCTCTCCAAAGGACAAAAAATAGTGAGTTAAAACAGTAAATTTAGTCTGTGGTACATTTTTAAAGTAGTGAGAGAAAACAGTAAATGTGCTGTATTGTACATTATTAAACTAGAGAGTGAAAACAATAAATGTGCTCTATTGTACAGTATTAAACTAGAGAGTGAAAACAATAAATGTGCTCTATTGTACATTTTAAAAGTAGTGAGAGAGAACAATAAATGTACTGTATTGTACATTATTAAACTAGAGTGAAAACAATAAATGTGCTCTATTGTACAGTATTAAACTAGAGAGTGAAAACAATAAATGTGCTCTATTGTACAGTATTAAACTAGAGAGTGAAAACAATAAATGTGCTCTATT